TCTTGTTACCCAGGCTGGAGTGCAATGGCGCGATCTTGGCTCACCGCCACCTCCGCCTCCTGGGTTCAGGCAATTCTCCTGCCTCAGCCTCCTCAGTAGCTGGGATTACAGGCACGTGCCACCATGCCCAGCTAATTTTTTTTTTTTTTTTGTATTTTTAGTAGAGACGGGGTTTCACCGTGTTGACCAGGATGGTCTCGATCTCTTGACCTCGTGATCCACCCGCCTCGGCCTCCCAAAGTGCTGGGATTACAGGCTTGAGCCACTGCGCCCGGCCCAGAAAAAATATTTTTAAAAAAGAATGTAAAAGAATATTCTAGCAAATTAATCACAAAATAATAACTTATAAACAAAAATTTTAAATAGTAAGAAAATATTTTCAATTCGTATGTTCTTAATTTCACTATCCAGTGCTACTGAATCAAAAATTGATGGTGGCAATTAGATTTTTTTTTTTTTTTTTTTTTTTGAGACAAAGTCTCACTCTGTCACCCAGGCTGGAGTGCAGTGACATGATCTTGGCTCACTGCAACCTCTACCTCCCATGTTCAGGCAATTCTTCTGCCTCAGCCTCCTGAGTAGCTGGGATTACAGGCATGTGCCACCATGCCCAGCTAATTTTTGTGTTTTTAGTAGAGACAGGGTTTCATCATGTTGGTCAAGCTGGTCTCGAACTCCACCCAACTCGGCCTCTCAAAGTGCTGGGATTATAGGTGTGAGCCACTGCGCCCGGTCGTAGCAATTAGATTTTAAGGTGTGGGCAACAGTATTTTATGCCACTAAATTTCTGGAACTATTACTAATCTAGAATGAAGAATAGAGATCAGCTCAGAAATGTGGAAAGTTCAGGTCAGGACAAAACATCTACGAGAAAAATCTTAAGATTTTCTTAAAAACAGGTGTATGAAACTCACTGATGTAAAGCATAAATTGCTAAAATACATGCAACAAAAAAGAGAAATGAAACCTTTAGAGTATATTAGGAATTGTGTATCAAAGTTTTCCTCACCCAGGAAGACAAAGTTTCTGTAGTTTTCTAACATCACATTTCTATATAAATTCTGCTGTGCTGTGTCCAGGCATTGCCACTCCTCCAAGGAGAATTCTATGGCCACATCCATAAATGTCAATGGTCCCTGAAAAACACAAAACACATATTTACCAAGTGTTTATGGACAGAATTTTTAATTTGACTCAAGGTGAAATGAGAGTAAAGAGATCTTGTTTTGACTTATAGGAGTGACTAAAATTATCCAATAAAATAATATTCAACACAGAAATATTGTCTAATATATTCTCTAACTGAGCAAAGAGAGTAGTATAAGATCCACAACATCAGTGTATATATGTTATTTTTCTTTTTTTTTTTTTTTTGAGACGGAGTTTCACTCATGTTACCCAGGCTGGAGTGCAATGGCGCGATCTCGGCTCACCGCAACCTCCGCCTCCTGGGTTCAGGCAATTCTCCTGCCTCAGCCTCCTGAGTAGCTGGGATTACAGGCACGCACCACCATGCCCAGCTAATTTTTTGTATTTTTAGTAGAGACGGGGTTTCACCATGTTGACCAAGATGGTCTCGATCTCTTGACCTCGTGATCCACCTGCCTCGGCCTCCCAAAGTGCTAGGATTACAGGCTTGAGCCACCGCGCCCGGCCATATGTTATTTTTCTTGATGATAAAGTATAAACAGAAGGGCACGAACACAACATGTACATGTTTGATTGTTACATGTATATCATACAGAATGACTTGTGTATATTTTTCAGATGGAAAAGACACATTGAGTTGGAAAGAGCCTTTCAAAATTTAATCTGTATGATAAACTGGAGATCTTGTTAATGGAGATTATTTTTTCAGGAAGATCTGGAGTGTTATGGCTTAATCTCTGATCATGCAACCTCCTCCTCATGGGTTCAAGCTATTCTCCTGCCTCAGCCTCCCAAGTAGCTGGGATTACAGGCGTGCCCCACCACACCCAGCTAATTTTGTATTTTTAGTAGAGACGGGGTTTCTCCATGTTGGCCAGGCTGGTCTCAAGCTCCTGACCTCAGGTGATCCACCCGTCTTGGCATCCCAAAGTGATTGGACTGCAGGCACGAGCCACTTCACCCAGCCCAGTTTTTGAATTTCTAACAAGCTCACCAATAATGTCAATTATTTTGGCCCAAAAAGAATATTTTGTCAAACATCCAGTAAGTACAAAGGCCTGTGTTTTTTTCAGTTTTTCTCACCTATAAACAAAGATAAGAGCTTTCATTTTCCAAAGACATATGTATACTAAGAAAACCTAAAAAAAAAAAGCAGCTGCCAGATTAAATATGATGATTTATGCACATTAGCTGCATAAAGATACTTAATAATGGGGCCAGGTATGGTGGCTCACGCCTGTAATTTCAGCACTTTGGGAGGCTGAGGTGGGCAGATCACCTGAGGCTGGGAAGTCGAGACCAGCCTGACCGACAGGGAGAAACCTCATGTCTACTAAAAATACAAAATTAGCTGGATGTGGTGGCGCATGCCTGTAATCCCAGCTACTCAGGAGGCTGAGACAGGAGAATCACTTGAACACACCAGGAAGAGGTTGCAGTGAGCCAGGATCATGCCATTGCACTCCAGCCTGGGCAACAAGAGCAAAAACTCTGTCACAAAAATAAATAAATAGGCCAGGAGCAGTGGCTTATGCCTGTAATCCCAACACTTTGGGAAGTCAAGGCAGGTGGATCATGAGGTCAGGAGTTTGAGACCAGACTGGTCAACATGGTGAAACCCCATCTCTACTAAAAATGCAAAAATTAGCTGGGTGTGGTGGTGGCACCTACAATCCCAGATACTTGGAAGACCGAGGCAGGAGAATCGCTTAAACCCAGGAGGTGGAGGTTGCAGTGAGCCAAGATCATGCCACTGCACTACAGCCTGGGCAACAGAGTGAGACTTAGCCTCAAAATCAATAAATAAATAAGATACGTAATGAACAGAAAAATATTTAACTCTATGGTGAAAAAATCCTTCAGGGAGCTCTTTAACTGATTTTTTTTTTTTCTTTTTTACCAGTAATTTCAGGATATCAAGTGAATTATTAACACCAACTGCACTAGGACGAATTTTTATGATGTGTTAATGCATAACACAGACAGACACAGCACCGCTACTGGACTATTACCCCCAAAAGTAAATTATAGTCTAAATTTTTTTTTTTTTTTTTTTTTTTTTTTGAGACGGAGTTTCACTCATGTTACCCAGGCTGGAGTGCAATGGCGCGATCTCGGCTCACCGCAACCTCCGCCTCCTGGATTCAGGCAATTCTCCTGCCTCAGCCTCCTGAATAGCTGGGATTACAGGCACACACCACCATGCCCAGCTAATTTTTTGTATTTTTAGTAGAGACGGAGTTTCACCATGTTGACCAGGATGGTCTCGATCTCTTGACCTCGTGATCCACCCGCCTCGGCCTCCCAAAGTGCTGGGATTACAGGCTTGAGCCACCGCGCCCGGCCATATAGTCTAAATTTAACCATAAAAAAAAAATCAGTTCTATGCAAAGTTCAAGATAAAGATATATCTCATTTTTGCAATTTTCAATAGTGATTTTAGGTAGTCTTCCTTTAGCATTCTAGAGAGCAGGTATCTCCTAATAATGTTTTTCAGAACTTCTGAGTAATAAATGCTCTTCTGTTCAAGTAAGTAGTTTCTTTTCTTTTCTTTTCTTTTCTTTACTTTTCTTTTCTTTTCTTTTCTTTTCTTTTTTTGAGATGGAGTCTTGCTCTGTTGCCCAGGCTGGAGTGCTGTGGTACAATCTTGGCTCATTGCAACCTCCACCTCCTATGTTCAAGAAATTCTCCTGCCTCAGCCTTCTGAATAGCTGGGATTCCAAGCACATGCCATAAGGCCTAGCTAATTTTAAAAAATATTTTTAGTAGAGACAGGGTTTCACCATGTTGGCCAGGCTACTCTTGAACTCCTGACCTCAAGTGATCTGCCTGCTTTGGCCTCCCAAAGTGCTGGAATTACAGGCATGAACCACCGCACACAGTCATATAAGTGTGTTCTATTTTTTTTTTTTTGAGATGGAGTTTCGCTCTTGTTACCCAGGCTGGAGTGCAATGGCGCGATCTCGGCTCACCGCAACCTCCGCCTCCTGGGTTCAGGCAATTCTCCTGCCTCAGCCTCCTGAGTAGCTGGGATTACAGGCACGCACCACCATGCCCAGCTAATTTTTTGTAGTTTAGTAGAGACGGGGTTTCACCATGTTGACCAGGATGGTCTCGATCTCTTGACCTCGTGATCCACCCGCCTCGGTCTCCCAAAGTGCTGGGATTACAGGCTTTAGCCACCCTGCCCGGCCTTATAAGTGTGTTCTTAAGCCTGTTCTGCATAGAGCTGATGGAGAACACAAATAAAACCTCAACATTACATGTTCTGTATCTCTATTAAGAACCCCAGCTTTCCCCCAATAGCAATCTTGAGTGTCCACACCATTTCATGTTCAACAGCCACAAAAAGAACATTTTCAATATTGCAGATCACACATTTATGGTGATATTTCTGCATGACATATAAGAATATTAGATGTAGAGAATGTAGAGAAGGCTTTGGTCTGTACAAAAGGAATATTTTGGCTGGGCACGGTGGTTCACACCTGTAATCCCAGCACTTTGGGAGGCTGAGGTGGGTGCATCATGAAATCAGGAGTTTGAGACCACCCTGACCAACATGGTGAAACCCCGTATCACAAAATTAGCTGGGTGTGGTGGGATGCACCTGTAATCCCAGCTACCTGGGAGGCTGAGGCAGGAGAATTGCTTGAACCTGGAACACACAGGTTACAGTGAGCCAAGATGGCAGTACTGCACTCCAACTTGGGCCAAAGAGTAAGACTCCACCTTAAAAAAATATTTGCAGAGGCCGGGCGCGGTGGCTCAAGCCTGTAATCCCAGCACTTTGGGAGGCCGAGGCGGGTGGATCACGAGGTCAAGAGATCGAGACCATCCTGGTCAACATGGCGAAACCCCATCTCTACTAAAAATACAAAAAATTAGCTGGGCGTGGTGATGCGTGCCTGTAATCCCAGCTACTCAGGAGGCTGAGGCAGTAGAATTGCCTGAACCTGGGAGGTGAAGTTTGCAATGAGTCAAGATTGCACCGCTGCACTCCATCCTGGGTGACAGAGACAGAGGGTGTTTGCCTTTAACCTTGTGTATAAAGTCATATGCACTATATATTATATATATATATAATATATATAGTTATCCTTAAATATATATATATAGGTATAAAAATATATATCATAGGTTGGGCCTGGTGACTCACACCTGTAATCCCAGCAATTTGGGAGGCCAAGGCAGGTGAACATTTGAAATTAGGAATTCGAGACCAGCCTGGCCAATGTGGTAAAAACCTGTTCTCTACTAAAAATAAAAAAAATTAGCTGCGCATGTTGGTGTGCCCCCTGTAATTCTAGCTACTCAAGAACCTGAGGCAGGAGAATTGCTTGAACCTGGGAGGTGGAGGTGGCAGTGAGCTGAGATCGTGCGACTGCCTTCCAGCCTGGGCCATAAGACCACAATTCCTTATTTAAAAAAAGAAAAAAAAAAAAATATATATATATATATATATATATACGCATACTCTTATTT